CTTTTTTCAAAATTTATCACATTTTTGCCACCTTACATTCATGCCGCTACTCAATGAGCGATGGTAATTAAGTTGTTAAATAGTAAAATTCTGAAAGTTGGAATAGAGGCGCTATGAAAATATCGAATTAAATTAAATGAGTAGGCACTAAAATATCCTCTCTAAGCGAACACAATGATAAGCAAAGAGTCCTGACCTTGTCTTCCAAGACCGTGATAATTATTCAACAAACACGATAACAAGAACAAAATCGTGGTACAACTTGTATAATATATAATATATAAATAACGATATTTACGCGACTCCAGTTCCAAATATTATAGTGTTGATGATCGGTGACGAATTGACGGCGACAGTCAGGTCATTGGTCAGCTGTTTTTCAGGTGCGCACCGGCACAACAACAACAAGTAGATAATAAATTGACAGTAAAATTCATGGCTAAATACTCAGGTATGTCAGCAATAATACTAAAATTCGTTCTAAAAAGCGCATTCATGGAATAATAAACAAATCTTAATTTATTATATGGTAATATGACGTCAGCTAGCAAGGATTTTAATCGGCTAAATCTTGAAACTAGTTATAACTGTGATAAAAGTTCCTGCCGGCGGACGTCATGACATGCGTATCACAGAGTTGCTGACATACCTAAGTATTTAGCCATGGAAAGATTATTGTTGATAATTGACAGTACTCAAAACACACTAACTGACCATTACACCGTGGAGTTTGCGATGTACAATATTATATTAATACGGCGATGATTGGGGTGACAACGCGACAATACAATTATTAGTGACCACGTAAAATGATGACTGCGAGACAATATAACTATATATTTAAGTTTCACATAGTGTAGAAACCGTGACGTACAATATATACATGCATAACACTCGGATCGCAAGACTACAGACGCGAAACACTATAAGAATTGTTATAATTACAAAGTAATTTATAGGAAATATTAAAACAGTGAGACACACAATATATATATATTTAGGTTTTACGTGATGCGGAATCGCGATTCACGATTTACATATTTAAGTATACGACTCGGAACGCGAGATGACGTATGAAACTATAAGAAAAAGGTACGATCGCACAACACAGAAAACCCGGTCTGACAAATAATGTCGGATTTAACGCGATCGCACGCTTATGCGTTGTACAAGAGACCAAACCGAGTGTCCGAATCTGTGGCGGCAAGTGACGACAAACTGTTGACAAGTAAGTGTTGCACGGGGAACTCCTTTTCCGTTTCTTAAGCGATTCCGATATCGCCGAAAATATTGCTCTGTATCGTGGCCGTTGACCCTATATTAGGCGAAGTAGGGAAAAATCAATGTACATAATCTTTACGAGTCTTTTATATCTTCGTATGCCTCAATAATATGACGGCCGTTAACCTAGCAATCGGAGATTAACACCAGGCAATTTAACTTTAAATGTCGTATTGTAGGAGGCCATTAACCCCAGGGAAGATGAATCACGAATAGGGCGATAAGATATATTTATAACTTCGTAAGGTCCGATAATTTGCACGAACAGTTATTTTGGTTAGTAGTAAAACAATTATTGATGTAGGTATAAATTCAAAAAATTAGTCAATTGTACAATAAATATTGCAAAAAAGAAAAAAAGTTTAATAAAAACTTCTTAAAACCATATACTAATATGTATAATTAAAAAAATCAAACTGTAATAAATTGAATTATATTTGTTACATTATTAAAAAAAAAAAATATTTGTTACCCAATCATAAAGTAAGTTTAATCAGTAAGTACATAGAAATCATTCAACCAGTATTTAAAATGGGATTTCTGAATTGAGTATGTATTAAATATTGTTAGAAAACGTTTTTAAAAATGTAAAGATCTAAAAGATATTTTTAGCAATGGTTTTTTAAGTTTAGTATAATATATTGCTTTAGTTCAATCTACACCTAGTTATGAATTTTTAATATGAAGTAATGGTGCAGATAAATGCGTGTATACTTATAATGTTATATTAATTTAATTATTAAGATATATTAAATATTAAAAAACCCATATGTCTATTATTTTGCTGGTTTGTACATTAATTTTAATATTAGAAGTATTAATTATTTATATAATTATAATTTATAATGCTCTTTCTTACTTTTCGGTCGAAATATTGGTATTAACCTTTACACTTCTATATCAAATGAGTTTGTGTAATTAATCTTAATGCACCAATAAAAAAGACAGTTTTGGCGATAAAAGTATTTCTATTTTTATGTTAATTGTTTTTGACATTTTGACTATTTAAATATTGATACAATATATTCAGTTAAAGATAAAGTTAATTATTGATATGTATAAGCAATTTATTTTTAAATAGTTCAAGGATTTAATATTTATTTAATATACTACATTGCAATTGGAATTTTATTCGTAACGCCTATTTGAAGTTATTATTTTTATATATTATGTTTAAAATATTTTATCGATGACAATATCTGTGTTTAAATTTATACTTTACACCAAGGTTGCTTTTCGGGACAACACCATCTAAAAAATTAGCAAATGAAAAAACTATTTTTAATTTATTATATATATTATGGTTATCAATTTAATTTTTTTGATGATTTGATAAATTAATAAGAAATGAGTTAAATATTTGTGCAGCTTGTACACGAAAAACGATCGTTTCCCGTCTTACTGCATGACTCATGCACCAAGCAGCAGTTTTTTTAAGTGATTATCGAATATCAAACTGAAAGTTCTATTTTTACGACATTAGTGTAAAATACTAAATGGCTAATAGAGGCGTCAGTGCATCACCGATCATAAGTGTAGTCTAAAATTTCTAAAAATTGTGAATCGCTCTCAAGTATAGAGTTATTCAATGTTATATAATCATTTGAATTTATTAAAACAATTCTTCATATTATTATACTTGAAAAAAGTATAGTTTACCATTTAAATTTTTAAAGTTGATCCCTAAAACAACTCCTAAATATCCTAAATATTGTAAAAGAATATAAAATATTATAAGTAATTTCAGATGTTATTAAATAAAAAACTTTTGTAGAGTTTATTCTTCACTATATTGAATATTTTTTTGATAAAATAGCTTTAACATATATTTTCAATTTCTCTTTTTATGTTTTTTTGTTATATTGAATGTCAATAATTTATACACCTAATTGTTATTAAGTACGTCGTTCTAAATCTGTTTATTAATTTAATAAATATTAACATAATTTATTATTTTTTGTGTAAATAAAACTCTATTCAGTCAATAAATCAAACATAACGCAAAATTTACATTAAAAAAATGATAACTACAGTTTTTATTCATTGGTGAATGTTATTTGATGTATATAGTTTTATAAAAGCCAGGTGGAACATTACTCTCATAAACGGATCCAATCGGGATAATTGACAATATGTCACGAACATGCATAATTTTACTATTTCGAAATAATATTACATTGATGTAACACATAGTGTTATGATCGAAATCATGGCTATCGATTATTTTACACGAAAATGATACATTTTTAAGTAAAATATCGAAATTATACTGAATGCGATTTAACATTTCAATGTATATATTAAAATATACCGTCATGATATATACAATTTAGGGTTGTTGCTATATATTATATAACAGCCCTGAATACAATTCGACACGAGACACGGTTAGTATCGTTCTATTGAAAAACTGGTTTTGTCTGGTGTGCGTCGCAATAACATCATCAGTGGGGAGAAACATTTTTACGGCCGCATCAACCCGAAGTCGTGTGGAATTTCGACAGAATCACAGATACAGGCACAGGTGTTTGCTATTCTAATGAATAATGATCGATGGTCTATATTGTATCGCATTGTGTTACAATCATTCCTCTTCTACGACCCTATCATCCTAGATGATTTTACTTTATAACTGCTCAAATAACTGACTGTGAATGGACACATGTAAATTCCACCGATTGCGACCTTTTTGAACCGTTTTTCATGTAAATTCCACCGGTACATTTTTTTACCTGAGAAAAAAATGTAAATTCTACCAGTATATTTTTATTTTTATTTAAATATTCGGGATTTACCATTTTACATTTGCGATAAATTGATTAGTATTTAATTATTAAACACGCAATAATAATAAAACAATAGTAATCAATAATAACATTAAGTTACAATAAATAATAGGTATATTAGTATATTACCTATTTACATGGGTAATATATTTAAAATTTAGATACTTCTACTTGTAATAATTAATAATGATCACTAGTTAGTAAATACTTATTTTTCATTGGTGGAGTTAACATGTTTTCAGATCAAAAATACGTACCGGTGGAATTAAAATTTTTTTCAGGTAAAAAAACGCATTGGTGGAAATGTTTTAAATTCAACCAAAAAATCGACTATCTATAAATCGTTAGAATTTACAATCGCCCCTGTGAACGTGGCCATCCTATACTGTCAATACTCCATTACCGTAATTTTAATTATCTGTAATTTGGCTAAGTGAATTATAATAATTTGTGTAATAGTTGTAATTAATATCGCTATATTCGATTCTCTTCGGCAATACAAACTAAATTAATAAATAAATATTTCTGTGTTATAATATATACCTACAATCTACGCATGTTGTGATTAGAGTAACATAATATATAATTAATAATGTTGCATAAAATTAATATATTAGAGAAAATTGTGTTTGTTTCTATTGAAAGTGATTGATTAAATATTTCAATTTCAGACTATAATACCACTATGACAATTTTTGTTTAATTAAATTTATAAATGCTGTTAAAATAAATAATTGTTCATGGATTAAAAAATAACAAATATTTGTTACCACTGAAATCATTTCACGTGATTGAAAGAAAAAAAACATCATTCGAATCCCCCATCCCCGTAAGCCGATGTTTTATGGTGGGGCAATGGAATTTCTGTATTACTATTGATGCATCCATCGACCACTGTGCGCGACGGGAGTCATATTTAAACGGACGTAGTATTATAACTGACGTTCATTTCTCTCTGACCACGTTTTCTAGTAAGTATAAATTTTGATTTCTATTTAATGCCCTTTTTTTCGCTTCTATAATGTATAGGTATAACATTTTTTTAAATGTTATTATGAATTATACAAATATTTTTAAATTCTCAAACATTTTTTCTATAGATTTTCTTTTTTTTAAGCAGATCGAAATTGATTCAACGTATCATATATTATTGTTAGTGTGTGTGATAATTGGATATTGATTTACAAACCGAATGTTATTTATATAAATTTTCGCAATAATTTAATTGGTATTAGAGTTTTATCAATTGCTATTAAGTTCAAAAGGTGATTAAATCATATCATATGTTCTTATTATACTTAAAAATGTTTTTTTAATAAAATGTAATTTTAAGTATTCTACAATATTTTTTTACTTGACAATGCTCATTAATAATCGAAAAATCGAACCTTGCAATAGTTTTTTTTTAAAAAAACATGTAAAAATAATATTAAATAAGATTAGGGTGAAAAATAAATTAAAAAATGTAATTAATTAAAATCAACAGATTATAGCTGTAAATAAAGACAATTTCCTTTTTACGTATTTTAATTCACCTACATAATTTATTACTAATTTGTCTATTCATTTTTTTTCGCTTTTTTTGTTGTTCTAAAATCAATGAATATTATGTATATACCTATTTTTTTCAAACTAATGGGCATAGAAGCTGATGTTTTATTTTAAGATCAATAAAAAATTAAAAAATTAAAAAAATACACGCATGTTGTCATATACATAGAAAAATAAACGCTTGTTAATATTTTTAAGGTTATGTTTATCACAGTAACAGCAATAAATGACACCACCCTATCAATTATTGTTATTAGTAATTGTTGTAATATACTACGTCAAATAAACCATTATCTAGTTAAAAATATTTAAAAAACTATTAAAATTTATTACTTTATATTTTTTAAACAAAATATAATTTTTGTTGCTTATTTATCAAGAATTTTGATTTGAAAGCATTCTAATATTTATTAGTTATATTTCGAGAAAGTTTAGTTTAAAAATATTATTTTTTTTAAGTTTGCCAAACATTTCTGGATGAATATAATCTGAAAATGAATTTATTTTACGATTAATTTTTTTTTTTGTAAATTTTTGATTGTTATTACAATTTACATAGTATTTACAAATAGAAATAATCTCTTTTTTGAATTGACAAACTTTTTTTCAATCATTTTAAAATAAGTTATGAATAATTATGTCGTACATTTTTTAATTTTTAATTATTTAATTAACAATACAATGTTGGATTTCGTGAATAATATTTACATATGTGGTAGGTATATATAATATATATTTTTAATTATTATTATAATTTATAGATTTTATGACTAAGTTTAATAAGACCCATTTACAATATATATTTTTATATCATTACATTTTCTTCTATGTTTTTCAATAAATATTATCTTTAATTTTAATAATAATAAAAACAAAATAAAATTTGTGGGTGTAATGAATGATAATTTTGTTATAATTTACAGACAAACTGTTATTAATTTTAGTAGTTGATATAAGTGTGTGTTGTTGTAAATGATCGGATAAAAATTTAAAAATGTTAAAATGCCGAAATGGAATTTGTGAAAATTGCGTGATTAGAATAATAATGAGAATAAATTAAGAACATTTCGTTAAAAAATCTATTGATATTTCTAATCATTTTTAAAAATAATGATTAAAAAGTGTTGGTACTATTTATAAATATAAATATTATTACCTATAACAATGTAATTAATTTAAAAATATTTATTTATAGAGTAGAGTATAAATTTAGAAGAGTCATCAAAGGCAAACTTATAAACTAATTTTCATAATACTAGACGTAACAAAGGATAAAATGGAAAGCGAAGATAACAACCAGCTCAATACAAAGAACAATGAACCAAGTTCAAAGGTAATCACGAGTTTTTATCTGTGCGTTATTGTATACTATTATAGTCTGGACTCTCGTACACAAAAAAAAAGCGTTGGCCATCACTACCAGTCGTTCAAATAATCATACTCACTGCTATAACTATTGGTTCTTAACATTTTATTACCAAATGTACAATGGACAGGAATGAAAAATGAACGTTGACCGGTGTTCAATTTACGTAATACCTAATCCTAATGGCTAATTGGTGTTTGTTTTTAACTGTCCATTTGTAGTTTTGAGGCAGCTTCTAAGAAGGCTTATGAATATTAAGTCTTTGAATTTTTCTGTTTTCACTATAATTGTTTATACGCAGGCTGATATTTTGGCAACATTTATTTCATTCTCGTACTAATTCGTTTATCTTACTTTTATTAGATTGAGCTTAGAGTAGAGTTAGGTCATTATATTAGTGTGGATTTAAATTTTGTCATTATATTAATTATTGTCCTGATTATAGCGCTAACTATAGTTAGGTATTGATTTTAAAATTTGGGTATTATATTAAGACGGAAATCTGTTCTGCAATAGTCAACAACTGAATAAGTAATGGTCATCACCATTAATGAATTAAATTCTGATTCCCAGATGGTATTTGCAAATTTTCCAAGTACTTATATTAGTTTGTATTTAAATTTACACCACAATAGTAATTAAATATTCTTTACATAACAATGTCCTATCTAGTGTGACTCAAAAGAAGTTAAACTATGATCATTCACTTTTCTTATTAATTACAAATTATTTTTATTTCATGTTACATCTATCAGATAGAAAAATGACACGTTAATCAAAGAGTTTTATCGTAGTGTATAGCTTTTAATTATTAATTTAGAATATTCGTGTCAGTGGTAGAATTTTTTTCACATGCCTTGAAAATTTTCTCTTGTGTTACAAAGGCAATATCATCTACATAAATGTATTTTCTGAAATTTATGTTTAATAGGTCCCTTTTATAAGTAAGTGATGAATTATGAAAAAAATATCACTTTTTCATGTAAATATTAAATAGGATAGAGATTAGACGCTAAAAAGGTAAATGGTAACACATTGCTAAAAATTCTCAATTTTCTTATGTTATCCCTTATGACTATCTTTTTGGTTCCCAAAAATTTTATTGATTTTATTACATAGATTAATGCATAGTAAAATTTATAGAATCTTAATGATTTCGTTGTATACTTATACTCGTATGTAGTTTTCATTTGATTTTCTTAAATATTTTCGATTTGCATTGTTAGGTATAATATTTGATCACAACAAATTCTATTAAGCCTACAAATATTGTATTATATTTAGTTGTTTTTGTGAGTAGTATTTAAAATTATATTATAGTAAGACATTTCTATTAACTTACAATTAAACTTAAAAGGGAGATAAAACGTTAGCTTTTAATATTGTTGTTTAGTATACAAATCCCATTTTTTGTAATTTTAGATTTTTATTTTGCTTTTTCATTAGTTGTCTAAATTCATTTTATTTATTTAATTCAGCTTTTTTTGTCAAATGTTTTTTTTGAGATGACCATGTTAGCTTTCTTTTGCTTAATGTTGTGGACAATTTTTTATAACTTTATTTACTTCTTAAAATACTACAGTAGATACATTTGTATATCATAATATAAATATTATAAGTTTATTAATTTTTTTTAGAAAGCATCAAAACATAAAAAACACGAATTCTCAACTCAAAATAGTGATTCATCTTCAGGTTAACTATTCATTATTTATAATAAAATTTACAATAATTAATTTAATCATTTTTCTTTCGTATGCATTTATTTCAGTTACTGAAGATTCGTCCGATAGTTCAGATGCATTTATTCCAGATATTGAATATGCATTCAATAGTTCAAATGCTGTATGTACATGCTGCTATGAATGGGCGAATGAAATGTATAAATGCTATCGTTGTAATAGAAAATATCATAAAGAATGCCATATTCCTACAATCATTGCCAGGTATAACATTGTTGCAATTAGTTGATGTAATTTAAAATTTTATTTTTTTTTTTTAATTAACAAAAAAGTTACTTTAAAATCTTAAGATAATGCTAGTACACTTATTATAATAGAAATGAAAATGAAAAAGAATGGGAGTGTACATTGTGTGAAGATATAACTACCATTTCTAAGGATTTAGGAAAATATCATGACATCGATGATATTTCTGTTGGTACGGTCGGACGAAAAATTGTTGAGCGTATATTGATGGAATTATTCTGTCGAAATAAAGAAATTGATCATTTCATATACGCACCCAATCCAGCTGTTGTAAGTTAAATATTAACTAATAAGTAAGACAGACCCGTGCGCAGAATTTCATAATTTTAGGTGGGAGAGGGGTTGAAAGAATGTAGAAAATAGATACATAACAATTAGTAAATAGTATTGTATATTTATGTTTATTATTAATTATTGAATATTATCTCATGTGTTCATCTATACTTCCATGGCGTATCCCACTGGGGCAAGATGGGGCACTTCCCTCCCTAGAATTTTAAATTTTTTACCTAATTGTAATAATTTAATGTAATAGTGACGAAACATTATAATATTCTATACATAAATGTATAAAAAAATCTTCATTTATTTTCAAATTAATTTTGCCTCCCACCCCTTAGAAAAATGTCTATGGACGCCCATGTATACTTATATATACATAACTAAAAAAGTAGTATTGTCATTATACTTTGTCGATAACAACAACGAAAGATATCGATTAACAACAAAAGTGACTATAACACTTTAATAGTAGTGTACCATTATTTTATGTATTATTACAAACAAAATTATAAAATATTTAATAATATAATTAATCAAAAATAAAAACACAATTTATAAATTATTTTTGGTTATATGGAGATTTAACCCTACTCCTTTTACGCACGGGTCTGAAGTAAGTAACTTCGCAATTATTTCAGTTTACTATTATTTGTTATTTTATGCTGTAGTTTCAGAGGTATCCTGAAAACATTCGAAATCTTAAGGGATTATATAATATTAAAGTTGATTTGTTAACAAATGATAATTATAAATCACTTAATATTTTTTTGGAAGATATAAAACAAATGTTTGTTAATGCTATGTCATACTATAGTGTGAGTACTAACTACTAAGTATAGTAATAGTGTTTATTTAATTTATATAAACTCTTGACCATTTAAAGACTATTTTGTGTCAAGTTGGATATTATTTAAATTTAAATTTCTATCTGCAAAATACCTACTTAAAGATCAGAATTTTATTTTTATTCTTATAACATTATATAAGCTTTGTTTATAAGAATTATACTGATGTTTCTTATGATAATTTTGATAATTTTATTACTTTTATTAAATCATGGTGCAGATGTATGTGGACATGTGGTATTGAGTTAAGGAGTTAAATTTCATTATTGTGATGCTAAATATATATTTTTGTCATTAATAAAAGTAAAAGAGCTGTGAGAATTAATAAATTTTAAAATTTGTAATCATCATCATAATTATAATTTAATATTTTTTTAGAACATCTGATAAAATTTTTTTTGTATTTTTTGGCTCATATTTCTCTTATTATTTATAATTAGCTTGTTAAACAATCTATTTCTATTGAGAATGCCATTTATGATTTATTGAATTGTTATATTTTTAACGAATTTTGCAAGCAATAGATTTTTGTGGTTATGTATATGGAACAATTTTTCAGAAAATACATTTTAATGTTTATTCTTGAATTGAATCATTTATATTTTGTAGATATATTATTTATTATTTACACATTTTTAGGTTGGTGATCCATATTTAAAATTCGCAATTGACCTTCTTAAATTTTTCAACACTATGTACGATAAGTGGATAATGTCTCCTTCGAAGAAAGCCTGGAAAATCAGGTAATTTATCTTTACAATAGTTACATAATTAATGATAGATTAAGTTGTATTATTAACGCTGTATTTCTTATTGATAAATACTAAAACAATAATTCTAAAATACTATAAAATAATAATTTAAGTATTTTTTAGATTCTAAACCTAACAAATAATGTATTGATTTTTTTTATAACGTGTGTTTTTTATGTCTGTTATCACTCTTTGGAGTAGTATAATTATATCGGTTTTCAACATTGGGGGTGGTTACTGATATAAATTGGATCAATTTGATACTTTTGGGGAGTTAAAAATAAAAACATTTTCAGTGTATTAAAAATAATCAGGATAAATAAAAAAACAATTTTACTAGGAAAAAGAGGAATTTTTATAAAAATTATAGTAACGACTAGAATAATTATGTTTTTTTTTGTTGCAATTAAAAAACAAATAATCGTAGATGCATGAAATTTTCATCAACACATTTTCATATTATCATTTTCTATTTTAATAACATTTTCAAAATTGTTGTCTCTTTGAGCTATTTAAAGTACGCTTAAATTTTTTTTTCTATAAATATATATTAAAAATGTATTGCTGGTAAATCCACTTGAAAACTGAATACGATGCGCCTCATAAGTTATTCGTTTAATTAAAAAATATTGAAAATTTTAAGTCACAATATTTTTTTTTATATATTGTGTTAGAAGTTAAAACATCGACATAATTTGTTAAAATCTCGAAATTTCACAAATTAATTTCTAGTTAATAATTATAAGATATTTTATTTTTATCTTAAATTATAAAATTTAATACAATATCCCTCATAGATTTCCTAATAACATGTGGCCAATAACGATTGATTTTATAAGGGTTTAAAAAACACATAAAAGAACTGATTAATATTCATAATTATATTTATATTTTTTATTGTTTATATTGTCAGGTTCGTATAATAAAAAACGAAACGTTATTGGAAAATCTAGTTTGGTATTTTATATATTTATGGATAGATACAATTTAACTTTATAGTTGAAATTTTATAATTTTGTTATTTTAGTTTTAACTAATATTTTTAAACAATGACAGGAAATAATTAAACTATTTTCAAATCATTGAATTTTTTTTAATATACGAAATGAGAATATGCTCTAAAAACTGGTAGTCTTAATGTTGTCGATTTAAAAAAATTGTAAGTCTAATTTTTTTTTTAACTCTAACTATTTATAATTTATTAAACATAGAATTTTTTAGACTGGTTGAATAAGGAATTTTTAAGTTTTAAAATTATTTTTACATCTTTATTATTTTTATATTTTATGTAATTTCATGCACTACATATTTATGTGTTGGAGTTCGAAGATTAATTCAATAGATTTTGTATACCTATAATTATAAAAATAATATATTTACATTTTTCTTTAAAGAGTGAAATGAAAATTAGCAGTATTTATATGTTTACATAGATGGCAAAAGTCTTTAAATATTGTACGAATTTTTATCACTAGATAGCGTTAATATTTTCAGTTGTCCATTATTTTAAACAATAAATAAAAACTTTTGATGCAATGTATTTAATGCAGATTAATTATAGACAGACTTTGAACCAAATCGTTTTCATCCATAACTTAACTAAAAGTAGCTTGAATGAACACAATTGTAAAGTATTAAGCATTCAACTCATTTAAATATTTAATTTACTTCAGTCCAGGCTAATAGTATTTCATTCATATAATGTTTACGAAGGCGTTAAAAATCTATTTTATTTCTATTTTGTTCTTTTAAAATTATAGAAAAAAAATCAATTGTAGTTTGGCACCATTATAAGTTTAAAAATTGTTCTTATCAACAATGAGTTGTTTGAAGCATAGAAATTAAAAAAAAACAGTATCATTAACTGAGATAATGATTTAGTAAAAATTACATTATTCGTACATTATTCACTATTAATTAATTATTACCAATTATACATAATTAGTTATTTCCTCATTACTCATACGGTCATATACCAAGCTTCAAATGATTAGTATTATAAATAATTATTTTATTTTTAGAAGAGTATGAATCATATGAGTCATAATACCTTTAGAGTAACACAGTAATTATAATATGCATTAAATTGGTTATAGATCTTCAAAAATAATGATTAACGAATAATAAATGTATTAAGTACCTACTTACAAAAAGTAAATAGGAAAAATATTGCTGATAAAATGTTGAACAGATAAAAATATTATCATCTTTCTGATTGTTTAAATTTTAGACTTATAATTTTCTCTTATCAACCAATTATATTTAGCTCCAGTGAATTAATTTTTGAAATCATTGATAACTTATTCTGATTTCTAATAATGTATGGGAATAATTAATGAGCAATCAAATAAATTAAACAGCTCGGAGTAATTTGACATTTTGGAACAAGAGAAAAATAGTTATCAATGTTTTTGTAAAGCCGATAATTACCTCTTTATTAGTGTTCGGTACTTAAACGGTCGAATGAACGAATAATTTAAACTGAATAATTGAAATATACTTAAAGGTTTTTATCATGTGATTGACAATAATATTGTAATATTTAATTTATTGATTATAAATAAATTATATTCAATGTATTGTTATTAGTTATTGGTAGTATTCATAATTCAGAATTTTTTTCAATTAAAGTTTATATTATTTGTCTTTTTTTAAATGCACCCAGCAGTTTAAGTTAACTTGTTTTCGTCAGCATTTTCTCGATAAAAATATGTATAGATCATAAGTCATAACTATAGCAGCTTGTATGCCGTACAAATTAATTTATTGTATAGTGTGTTCATAAGTGTTTTAAAAAAAAAAAAAACATGTTATAACATTTTATTTAGCATCAACAACATTTTAAAATTTTATTTCGAAATTGTATTGATGAGTTGCAACTTTTTATATTGAATGAAAATAAAATGGTGTTATAATTATTTCCAAAGTTACGTTCTATATTTTTGGTTTTATTATATATTTTTAATTATTTTATGAAAGAAAATAAGTTTTATTCGTCTTTGGCCAACATTAATTTGGCAGGATTGGTCATTAGCGTCTTAATTACAAAATAATTATTTATTGCCCAACTTTTTGTACATAAAAAATTCATTCTGGTTATACAATCAAAAATTATTATTTTTTCAAATGATCTGAAAGCAATATAACTTTTCAGTCATTTTTTATTTGTAATATAGGAATAATAAATATCTATCTCAAACTATCGATCAAAATAAATCAATATAATATCTACCTAGTTATGTCATGTGATTGATGATTGAAAAGTGCATAATAAATTAATAATAAATATTGACATGCATACAATATGTTATAATAATAAATTAATCATATGATGAAAAATGCATTATTTATTGATTGACTTATAAAAAGGAGCTAAAATAAATTTATTTACAGTTGTAAGTCAATATTAAATTTGATTCTATATATGTGTATATAAAAAATTTAAAAAAAAAATCAAATATAAATTATTATTCTTTTTTCATGTAATTCTCGTTATATTTATTTATAGCTCATATTATTATTGTTAATAAAGTTTTACAGATTGTATATATTATTTGTATGTATAAATTGAAAAAGAAAAATTGATTTTTTGGTCTTATCAGTTACATCCTTTTTTTTTGCACGTTTTTGAAAAATGTTCTTGAATACTTTACCAATTTCTATAATATTATTATAATAGCCATAGTATTGGCAGAAATAATAAATAAATAATACGTAAATTACTATGATATTAAAGATAATTGATATTTTAGTATTATTCTAATACTGGAATTGTAGTTTTTTCTAAGTAATATATATATACATACGTTTTTCACATTCATACTAGCACTGCATAAAATATTAATGTAGTATAACTTAAATTAAGTATATGCAGCCATAACGTTAGTTGATGTGTGTAGAAAGATTATTATCAAAATACAATAACATAATAGAATAACACAATAGGTTAAGTCTTGATGAAAACGGTTTAATTAATTTTTTTTTTTTTAAGTAGGTACTATTTTATATATTTTAAGCATTTTTATTAAATAAATTATTTTTTTCTTCTTAAAAATAATTTTTAAAGATTTATTTTACTATAAAAAGTAAGTAATATCGAGTTATACATAAAACAAAAAAAAAAATGGACCATGAAAAATATTCATAATAATATAAGAAGTTGATTTCAAAACTATTTCGTCTTTCAATTTTGATTTTTGAACCATAATATAATATAAAATATAAAATATATTAATATTTAAAATGTAATATATTATTTGTAGTTTTCAATAATTTACAAGTTTAAGTATAAATTCAAGTGGCTATTAATAAGTTACAATAAACATTTAATCTTCTTCAACGATTTAGTGTGCATAAATAATTCATAAATATCTTAATCGAAAAACCAGATAAGTTCTATGTATTAGGATACATAAAAACAATAAACCACTATTCGATTAGATAAAATATTTCATTGATTAACATTTTAATAGTTATAAGTAATAAAATAGTATAGTTAAAAAGTTTTAAATAATAATAAAAAAAAATATTCTATAAAAATACAATATCATTATTCATTAAAATTATATATATATAATTTTTTTTATTTTAATAGAAGCGTAATTTAATAAATACAATTTTAACAACAATTTTTATGTTTATAGTTGTAAATGCTTTTATGTTTGATGAAATTATTACATTATTAACTTTATATACGAGGTATTAATAAATACAGATATATATATTTTAAAGGGTATAATATTTTAATATCTGAAAAAAAAAGAGAATGTTGTATTTAATGACATATTAATTAGGTATATTTAATGTAAAAATAAATACTGAAAGTTAAAAGGTTGCTTAGAACGAAAGAGGTACATGATTTTAGTTTTTTTATAATGTAAATTAAGTCCAGCTTTAAAATAGCGTTTCAAAATTATTTTAATGAGTTTGCTTAAAAAAAAAAAATATATGTATGTATAATAGGTAATAATAATAATAATAATAATAATGAAAAAATGTAATATATATTAATTTTTGTTTAAATATTATAATATAAATATATATTATTATATATTAAATATTATATTAAACATTATATCATAACTGTATTTAAATATATGTTTATAATTATATGAACACAAAAAATTTTAAAACTATAAATATTTATCAGTATAAATACTTTTAATTATTTAACAGAACACCTTTTTATGATATTAAATTATTATAAATAGAATTATTCGAGATTTCTAAAACTTATTTTGGTTTAATGAATAGTTATATAAGAAAAATATGTTTATGGCGTAAGTAGTGATATAAATTTTTTTTTTCATAATTTTTGAATACTTATGTAAAAATTATAACTTTAATTTTTTGTTTCAATTTTATTAAATGTATTAAACTAAAAGTGACTGACCTATAGTTTGTATATAAGTATAAAATATTATTTAGTTTGATTAACAAACAAATATTATTATAAGTATATGTAGAGTATGCCTAGATATTATAGAATGTATAAATCATTATACCTGTTTGTTTCATTTACATTTTTACAATCATTTATCATTATTTTAATAATATATATTAGCGAAATCCTTGTCAAAAACTGAAAATGAATTCATTTTTTTCTCATATACTCTACACACATGTGTGTAGAACATTTGTAATGTTTAAAATAAATTCGCATGATATTATCGATGCATGTCGATTAAATTAACCACTATATAATGTGAGACCCGTTTAAAGAGATATTAAATTAAATAAATTTTATTTCACCTACGAATTAAACTCTATAATTATATTATGTCCATACGGTAGGTCAAAACTTACAGACATTATAAATATCCAGGTAGTAAGGTACACCTGGTACAGAAAAAAGGTAAGATACTTATAATGTTTATACGTAGACATCATATTGTATAGGTCACTTGTGTCAAAGTAATATATATATAATTGCTTGATAGGTCATACTACTTTATATATATATATATATGGTTGTATTAGTAATAATTTTATTAGGCTATAATTTAAAATGTATTAACTTGAAAACCATTAAAAAAACGCGTACACGAAGAAAACGTACACCATGTGAGTAACAATTACATAGCGAACGTAAACCAAATATTTGACGTTGCCATTTTAACAAAATTATTTCAGTCGTTTGTGCAATATTAGAAAAGTAAATTAGTAACGATTATTTTTATCTTTTTCAGTGAACAAATGGCCGTTTGAAATATCAAACAACGGTCTTAAAAAGAAAATTATTTTGAATATAATTTTTTTTTCATCATATTTAGTTGTAAGTTCATGGATTTAAATCTTAAATTTAAAAATTATTTCGTTTTTATAATACTAAAATATTAAGTATTATTATGATAATCTAGTTATATTATTGGTGTACTCCATTACTCGTATATTATATTGTATTTCGAAAATATTAAAAGTAATTTACCAACCATTTTTTAATTTTATATTTATACTAAACTTATACTGTATTATGATTTGTATTAATAAACGCAACCAAGGCTGTACTCAGAATACATTTTTGGTGTATGAGGGTTGAACTCTCAATTTTCACAGATACGGCCTTGTAATATTATGTTTCTAAAATATTAAGTATTCATGTAAGAATGTATCCATTAACTCTAAATATTAATTGTAAGTGAACGAATTTGAATAATCAAATATAATATTAAATTTCCAATACCTATAGAATATTTTGAAAAACGATAAAATTAAAAATTTAAGTTATTTTTTTAAACATCACAATATTTTTATTTTTATTCCATAAAACAATAATCATTACTTATCCATTAAGTTATTAATTTAGGTAAATTAACTATTATAAGTTTATGTAAAACAATATTTTAATATTTTATTTGTCAAAAATAATGCATTAGCTATTACATATTATTTAAGTATTTATTTATAATATTTATAATATTAAGTAGATAAATCTAAAAAAATGTATGTATAAGATTTTTTATGTGTTTGTAGAATGTAGTTAGTTCGCACTTAATTATTATACTCGTACAACTATGTTTTGATGTAAACAATTAATTTTCATTATCATTTTTTATTTATAGTATTTTTGCTAGGTATTGAAAATTAATAAATCGCAATACATATACAGTTATAAAAATAAACTCATTCTATTTTTTTTTTTAAGATATATTTTAATTTTATAATTAATAGTGATTTTCAATGAATTAAGTTGCGAATTATAAGCAATTTCTTAAACTCCAATATTATTTAAGTATAAAAAAACTTTACTATTTCTATAATAATTAATATGCATTCCTTAATAGTTTCGAATAAATAAATTAATAATTCAATCTTTATAATTGTATATTTTATAATCTGTTATGGCCATTTAAAATATTATTAAAATCGATAATAATATATTAATATCTTTTGATATTACAAAATTTATAAATCATTAAAATCGAAGTACAGTTATAATTTAAACTTCTACTAATATTATCATCACATATATCAATAGCAAATATTGTATTTATCACAACTATTAGGTACAATTCCACAACCCAAAATTATCTTAAAATATATTAATTGTTGACATGGCTATGAAACTATGAAAGTAGTTTGAATATTTTCTTACTACTAATTTATAAACTCGCCTCTAAAATATTTATGTACCCATGTGCCTATCAATTATTATTATGAACTTAAAGAGAATATTATTATGTGATTGTTTATTAATTTTGAAATTGGGGTGATAAGTTGTATTTAAATTTAGTTTTAAAAAAGTATTATCTAATCAATTTAACATGTATTCGCAATATTAAATTTATATTCATATCACTGAGATTTACAATGTTATCAGCAGAGCCATTTATAAATATTGATATTCCACAGTTAGTTTTTAAAAGTCGTTAATAGGGGTAACAAACGATTGTATTTAGTCTTTATCGGCAACACTTTTAAGCGTACGATTACGCGTGCTACATTATTTTTATTTCAACACAACGTTGTCAAATATAAAATTGGTGAATCAGTGGAATATCATTCACATACCTTCCCAATCGGTCTTTGTAATACGTATGTATAAAAATGGTTAAAATGTGTATACCTATATTGTATTAAACTTATTGATATATATAATATATGTGTTTATATATATTTTTTTTTGAATGTAAACTGTCTCACCAGTCACCACATAATAAAAATACTTGTGTACGCCATTGCAATAAATGTTAGAACTAGACTGATAACACTTGATTTTTGTTATACAGTATTCTGGTATAAATGTTGTCAATATACGAGTAAAAATAGCATTATAGTTACTATCACTATAATTAAATACAAAATGAAATGCGATGGCGTATATTACTAAAGTAGATCATCCTTATGAAACTTGGGTAGAATTATCAACTATTTCCAATAAAATAAATAAGCCAAATTCAAAAAAAGAAGTAAACTAAATTGAATTTATTTGTACAAGCAACATGAAGATTATGCAAACAATAAAATGCCAGAAAATTTACTAAAGTTTACAGCCATAATTGAAAATAAGTATCAAGTTAAATTAAGCTGTTTCGAATTATTCATATTTGTAATTATTATATTTATGTTTATGTAACGATTATAACCATAATAATTGTTGAATGACAAAGACTATAATATATTGGGTATAATATATGTAACCATTAAGTATAGTAATGTAATAGTACTAGGAAAAATTTCCAAAACTTACTATTTACCATTTAAAATATATATATTTATAGTAATAAATTTGACAACGTAATTTACAATTTCGCGCATAGTCGTAAAGGTTTGAAGTGTCAAAATTATGCTCTTTATTATTGTGGTACCGTGGAGGTATTTTTAACCGTTAACTTCATGGACCTGTGGGGTTACTAGTTTTTTCGTCAAAATGAAAAAGGTTTAATTTTCATTTCCAGCAAATTTATTTCTACCAACATGATTAAAAATATAATTTAAAAGCTATTTAACTACACAAGGACTATTATGAGAGTGAGATTCTCATTAATCCTCAAAAGTTTGTTTGACATAATTTTCTGATTAAAATTAAAAAAATAGAATTTAAATTAAATTAAGTTAAAAAAAATATTTATTTTTATAATATTTATACATTATAATCAAATATTTCTAACAATACTAACATTTTTATCATAATAATATATTCATTATTTTGAATAATTGTTGCATACCTCTTTTAAAAGTGTTATTCTTGAAATAGTTTTGTTTTTAAATTCTTCTATTGTGTTTGATATATTAATAAATCCTCTTTTTATGTTATATTTTGTAAGTTTTTTGCATACCTAAGTTGCAATGAATATATTATTTTGAATGAATGAAATTAAAATGTTTAAAAATGTATTAAATTGTGGATGTGATTTATAAGATTTAAATATTCAGTAAAATGTACGTGAAAAGATTCACAATTATTTGTTGTTTTAGTTATACTTGCATTGAAATCAGACCATATTGTTGGAGGAAATTTATTATTTTCGAAAATATAATTGTTAGAAATAATCAGTATACTTACATATGCTAATATTCTTCCGGTGTCGACATAAAATCTTCGAAAAAAAAAATTCTTAACTTCTCAAGGATCTAAAAATGTTAATCCAAATGTAGTCAAAAGGCGGAAGAGATGTTAAGCGTATTTTTAAACTCCATCTTATAGTCCATCATTGGCTTGTTCTCTTAGTTATTAACTATGGTCTTTATTGCAAGTTTTATACAACCTTTACTGGTGAATATAGCCCTATTATGGGTCTCATTAGAGTAATAGTCAACTAGATTTTATATTTTAATATTACAGGTATATAATACTTATCATAAAATAAGACCCCAGAGCTATCACTAAAAAATGGATTAGGGGTTTTCAAAATCTATCTCAATTATATAGATAGAAAAAGATTTGATGGAAACGAAAATCGAACCATTTTTTATTTTGACGGGATTACGGAAATGATGATCGCCCACCTCGTATTGTCGTGTACATAAAAAGCTACTTATCGTTTATCTGTGATTATTGAAATTTGATTGTTTATATTAGATGCTAATATTTATTATAATATTATATTATTTATACTTATAAATGTCAATTTATTAAATAATTGTAAAAAAAATATTACATAATGTCTTTAAAAAAATAAAAATATTTCATAAAATTATGTTTCATAAATAAATAATTTAAAAAATATGTATATAATTTATCATATATATATATATTAAATATAGTCAAACGGATGCAAATGTTATAAAAATAAAATAAATCAACAGAATTAGTTCAAGAACTGACATTTGATTTTTTACCATGTAGGAACTTACATTTACATAATATATGTATTAGTTAAAGGAATTAACACAAATAACTTTTTAACTGAGTTACTTTTGTAAAAGATTTAATATTGTTCAAAAATACACAAGGCACTGTATACCTCAGGGTTTAAGATTAAGAGTTTGGTAGTTTGAAATTAAACATTCACATAAAATACCATGTATTCTAATTTCTAACTTATTGTTGATGGTGATTTTCTAGAAAACTACGAATTAGCTTGCTAGTATTTATTAAATTTGGCCTATATACATAAACAACAGTATCCAAAGTTTTTTCATATTTTATGATTGTTCAGTGACATAGTAAATTAATAATATATTCAATTATGAAGAAATATATAAAATACCATATCATTTAGAATTTACACACGTCACACACCTACTAAGGAAGTTCAATATTACTTAGATGGTATTAATATTATATGTAAGGTGTATGACACTGTGCCACTGTGGTAAATAATTTTAAATGAAATAGAAATAAACTACTTTGTTATTATAATTTCTGCGAAACCTTTATGGCACTAAAAATTTCAATTTCTATTACGGTCTGTGTTAACAAATTATATGGAACAGTGTACGTATCTATACTGTTCCTAGAATCGCTAATAATATTTATTATTGATTTTCCATTTGACGAAATTTGATGGATTTGTTATAGGTTAGGTTAACCATTATATACGTTAAGATAAATTAAGGACATATTATTTTACACATTATGAATTTAATTTCGTACCTTACTTATAAATAAATTTGGAAAATTTGCAGTAATATACCACTTATAATTGGTTATAAAACGTCAATCAACTTCAAAACTATTTTAAAATTAATTTATCTAGTTAAGATATAGAAAAATCAAATATTCAAAACCTTAAAGTTAGTTTTTTTATGATATATTAATAATTAAAATAAAAAAAGTAAGAACTAGAATTTAGTATTAGGCTTTGTCTACGATACAATCATTTCGTTTAGTAGG